AGTTTCACTGGGGCGGTTCTGGGTGTATCTGAGTGGTTCTGGGTGTATCTGAGTGAGTGCAAGAGGGTAGAAGAGGAATTGAAGAAAGCCAGCCTAGGCAACTCTAGAGAAACTGTGTGAAAGCCTGTTAGGGGGATTTCTTGGTGGCTAAAAGGGCATTGGAATCAAAAGAAGTTTTGGTGGGTTTCTGTTTGTTTGTTGTTTTGTTTGTTTTTAACTAGTGGATAAATAACAGCATGTTTGTATGCTGATTGGGATGTTCCAGCCCAGGGAAAACCAATGATTGTTGAAATTAGCCATGAATTGTGCTTTTGAGCAGTGAGAGGGGATGGGAGCTGGTGAGCAAGTGGGGTCTCCTTGCACAGGCCGGAGGCTGAGTATGTGGGTACAGAGGTTGGTGGGGGGCAGGAGGTACTGAAAGCTTTGTGCATTCTGTTCTGATTCCTTCATTTTTCTCAGTGAAATGGGAAGCATCAGTTGAAAGTGAGGGGAAGGAGGTATTTAAAATTTGAGAAGGGGGTTGCCTGGGTGGCTCAGTTGGTTAAGTGTCTGCCTTAGGCTTTGGGTCATGATCTCAGGGTCCTGGCATCTGGCTTCCTGCTCAGCGGGGAGTCTGCTTCTCCCTCACACTCTGCCCCTCACCTGATTCATGCTCTCTCTTGCTCTGCTCTCTCTCCCTCAGACAGAGAGAGAGACAGCGAGAGAGGGAACACAAGCAGGGGGAGCAGGAGAGGGAGAAGCAGTCTTACCGCTGAGCAGGGAGCCCCATGCAGGACTCCATCCCAGGACAGTGGGATCATGACCTGAGCCAAAGGCAGATGCTTAACCAGCCACCCAGGAGCCCCAATAAATCAAATATTTAAAAAGAAAGTTTGAGAGGGGAAAATAAGAAAAGAAATAATCATTTAGAAGAGTAGAAGAGAAAAGGGATGAGGAAGGCATGGTGTAAGGCTGAACAGGCCTGGGGTCCACTGTAGTCTTCCCGTGATGGATCTAAAAGGAGCTCACTCAGCGTGGCTGCATCCTTCCTCCAGCCATAGCCAGTTGCAGGGGCTCAGACCCACAGTCAGTAGAATATAAACAGGCTTGGTGTTTCGCCAAGCAGGAGGGATGACAGGGATGAAGATGTGTTTGAGGCCGGGCTAATGGTGGCTAACCATGGAAGTTCAGCAATGTAAGGAAAAAGGTGAGGGCCACATCGGTTAAAGGGCGTGAAAATGTAGTGGAATTGAATCCAAGGGTCCTGGAGGGAGTGAGTTAACCATTTAGGAGCGATTAATCATAGCGGGATACTTGAGATGGAGATGATGCTTGCAATTGGGTAATGCACCGGGTTAGATTATGACAATGGAAGTGAACCTCTGAGATAAAATGGAAGACAAGATCATCGAAGGAGAGATTACAGCTCTGATAGGCCGGGAAACCTTACCAAAAATGAACTGATTCTGATGCAGGCGGTCCAAGGACAGCGTTTTGAGGAAATCTCATTTTAGGGAGAGTGAACAAACTGAACATAAAATTTTTGAGTTATAGACATTATAGACAAGAAAACATGAGGGGGTGGAAGAAACAAGAAGAATATTAACAGAATATTGTGTATTTAGTGTTCGAATGGGCTGGACACAGTGTCAGTTCACCTGTATCATTGAATTTATTCCTGGTCACAACTGTGGATACCAGAGACTGTTGTCATCCCTATTTTACAAATGATGAACGTGAGAGCCAGGTAGGTTAAATAACACGCCCAAGGACACCTCTGTCTGAGTCTGAACTCTGAGTGCTTAACCATTATGTCGCTCTTCCTTGACAGGTGCAGTGATTATGACAGAGCAGGAGATATTAAAATCCACATCCTGAGATGTGAATAATAGACTTATGGGATTAGAGACTCTTGAGAACAATATTGTATACAAAGCCCAGAATATGCATTATCTCATCTAATCCTCCTATTAATCTTGTGTATTAAGCAATTTGCCCAGATCCTGGGGTCAGTAAGTAGGAGAGCCTGGATGTGAATGCTTATCCTCTGATCTCCTACTTGAATACTCCTTCCACCATCACTTTCCAGCAATGGTTTAGACAGAAACTTTAAAAAGAGTCTAGACAGTTTTGAATAAATGTATTATTAAGGACACCATTACTAGTTATTTCTTTTTTAGAACCTAACAAGATAAGTCTAATTCCTATGTTTCCATGGGAACATAGTTAGTACAGAATGTGGCATTCTTCATGTTGTGGAATGTTCTTTCTATAAATTCATGCATTCATTCAACTATAATTTATTGAGCAAATAGTCTGTGCAGGTGCTGTGCTAGGTGCACAGTTACCGGCAGAATAAGAAACATCCCTGCTCTAAAGGAACCTTCAGTCAGCTCCAGGCTTTTAGAACCTCAGATATTCTGCAGGGCCTTTTCACACCTGGCACATTTTTAAGGCATTGCATTTGACCTAGAATACACTCCATCCCCTAGGACCCGGTCACCTAAGAGATCATACCTCTCCCCAGTGGTTTGGTACACAGCAAGATCAGCTGTAGTGCCCGGGAGATGAAATCTTAGATTTGGACCCTGGGGAAATAGTACCAGAGTGCTATTCTAAAAGGAATTTTCTTACTCCGAGGATCCAAGTTTAAAGCTAGTTTTAAAAATACACCCTTTGCCTGGCATTCTAACTGGCTCAGTGGTACTGCACTAACCTTTATTCATCACTTGGCCATGACTTTTGCTAGAAATACTGGATCTGTCCATGCCACATCATGTTTATGGGCTCTATGGCCCAACACCCTCCTGCCACACAGTTAGGAAAAGCCAAGTAAGGCAGCGCCCAGGGCACCAATCTGTAAGAATGAAGGAGGATGCATCCAAGGGTGGGGAAGAATTCCACTTTGTTCAGGTTGGTGCTAAAACAGCAGCTTTAGCACCAGATATCTGGGGTGGCTATTTCTACATGCAGAAATTCTTGTGCACTTCCACTTCATGATGCTACTAATTAAGAACGGCACATACACTGGTTCAAACTGAGCCTGTGTCTACAACAAGGAAGGAGGGGAGGGTGTTATGTTTTGCCTCCAGATTTAGAAGACCACAACTGGTGCTCTTAATGGCAGTGTAACACGTGTTGCCTCACTTCCCTCTGGTCTTAAACATGTGAGTCACAGTATAATTAAAGAATTACACTCTCCGTCTCTTACACTGCAAAAGTTAAGTGAGACAAATCAGACTAAGTTTTCTTGTTGAAAAAAAAAATGAGGATCCTCTTTAATACCCATCACCAGGCTTACCCATCCCCCCGTGGGTATTAAAGAGGGCATGTACTGAATGGAGCACTGGGTGTTAAACGCAAACTGAATCATGGAACACTACATCAAAAACTAATGATGTAATGTATGGTGATTAACATAACATAATTAAAAAAAAAGAAAAAAAGGATCCTATATATACTGGGTTTTTAAGAATTTCTTCAAGCCCCCAAGTATCCTATATCCTCTTTATATCTAATTTGGTGAACCACTCAGATCACGGATTTAATTTATTCGAGTCGTTTCTGGAGTTGTGGGACCACACATCAAGTCCGTAACTCCTGTAGCTTTAAGAGAAGGTAATTCTTGTTTTGGAGTAGGGGAGGTGGCGCCAGCTCGCTGCTCGCCGCTCCCCACCCGCCGGACAGTACTCAGTTTCCCGCTGTTGCCGGCCCCGCCCAGCAGCCCCGCGGCGCTTCCAGCAGCCGCCTGGGGTGCTGCGTTTCCCACCCGCGAGAGGAGACGGTCGAAGGCAGCCTGCGGGCGCGCCACTCCCGGTGGCTCCGCTGCTTCCCGCCGCTGAGAGCGCGTGGGGCGTGCTGACCGGGCGGCGCGGACCTGGACCACGGAGGGTGCCCGGGCCGCCTCCTCACCTCCGGGAGTCGGGCGCTCCCGCCCACCCGAGAACTCCGGCTCGTTCCTTCCCCCGAGGGCGCAGGCTGGGGCTCCCCGCGGACCCGCCCACTCGCCGCAGCACTCTGGGCTAGCGGTTCTGCGCTCTGCTCGGTGCCTTTGCGGGCCCTGCACGCCCTCTCCCTCCCCAGCTCTTCCAAGGCCGGGCACACCCACTGCCGCTGCCAGCGTTCGGGGCCCAGGCGTCCGAGTTAAACCCCGTTTCCCAACCGTCGCCAGCTCTAGCTGCACACCCAGCCCTTCTCCAGGTACCCGCAGAGCAGAACGGAATACAAAGAGGCCTGCGCCCCCTCTGCCTTCGCCACCGCCACGCCCGCCCGTTCCCACTCTTCGACCTCCGCGAGGGCTGGACGCCGGGACCCCTCCTCTCTGCGCCCTCCTGCCTCGCCCCCTATGTCGTTAAAATCCACCCAGTTTTCCCAGAAATCCCGTGGGTTGGGGCCCTCGACCGTCCCCCTCCGGCCTCTCGGCCGCCGCTCTCGGCCCCCGGGACCGGCCGGCCGCCCACCCCCACCGCAGCCACGCGTCTTGGTCCCGGCTCCTCCTCCGGGGCCCTCCTCCTCTCTCGCCCCTCCCGAGCCGGGGTGGGAGCGGCGGCAGCTGGAAGAGAAGGGATGAGGTCATCCTCTCCCTCGGAGTCAGCTGGTGGAGGAGAGGAAGCGGGAGGAGGGAGCGCGCGCGAGGGGAGGAGAGGAATGTGCAGGTCCGAGGAGCGCCGCGGCGGCCGCTGCTGCTCCTGCTGCTGGCGGCGGCGGCAGTTCGGGCGGCAGCCGCGGGGCTGGGACGGCGAGGAGCGCGGGCGGCTGGCAGGGGCGCGCGCGGGGCGCCGCGAGCAGCTTGGCTCCGCGCAGGCAGCCAGGCGGCGCTCCTGCCGGCCCCAGGCGCGCGGCTAGCCCGGCCCAGCGCCCAGCCCGGCGGGCGGCGGCGGGAGAGCCGGCGCAGGAGCAGGAGGAGGGGGAGCCGCGCCGCCAGGGAGGGAAGCCGGGGCGAGGCGAGGAGGTGGCGGGAGGAGGAGACAGCGGGGAAAGGTGTCAGATAAAGGAGGGCTCTCCTTCGGTTTGGAGGCATCATGGCTGCTAAGTCAGACGGGAGGCTGAAAATGAAGAAGAGCAGCGACGTGGCGTTCACCCCGCTGCAGAACTCGGACCACTCGGGCTCGGTGCAAGGATTGGCTCCGGGTTTGCCGTCGGGGTCGGGAGCCGAGGACGAGGAGGCGGCCGGGGGTGGCTGCTGCCCGGACGGCGGCGGCTGCTCGCGCTGCTGCTGCTGCTGCGCCGGGAGCGGCGGCTCGGGCGGCGGCTCCGGGGTCTTGGGCGGCCCGGGCGGCGGCGTTGGCGGCCCGGGCGGCCCCGGGGCGGGCTCCGCGGCGCTGTGCCTGCGCCTGGGCAGGGAGCAGCGGCGCTACTCTCTGTGGGACTGCCTCTGGATCCTGGCCGCCGTGGCCGTGTACTTCGCGGACGTGGGCACGGACATCTGGCTCGCCGTGGACTACTACTTGCGCGGCCAGCGCTGGTGGTTCGGACTCACGCTCTTCTTCGTGGTGCTCGGCTCGCTCTCGGTGCAAGTGTTCAGCTTCCGCTGGTTTGTGCACGATTTCAGCACCGAGGACAGCGCCACGACCGCAGCCGCCTCCAGCGGAGCCGATTGCAAGACGGTGGCCAGCAGTGGGTCTGCAGCCGCTGAAGGCGAGGCTCGTCCTTCCACGCCGCAAAGGCAAGCATCCAACGCCAGTAAGAGCAACATCGCCGCCAACAGCGGCAGCAACAGTAGCGGGGCCACCCGGGCCAGCGGCAAACATAGGTCTGCGTCCTGCTCCTTCTGCATCTGGCTCCTGCAGTCACTCATCCACATCTTGCAGCTCGGGCAAATCTGGAGGTACCGTATCAGGGGTGGGGAAGAGGGAGATCTGCTGCTGCTACTACATCATCGCTGCTTTGCTTTTGCACGGAAATTGTTTAGGGTTGCTCTGGTAGTAACCCTAGGCACACTCTCAGTTTTTTTCTTCTTTTTCTTAAACTGGGCTTTGCATTTTTAAGATTTGTGATCACAACCTAGGGTGGGAGGGAAGTGAGAAACAAGGGACAGGCAGCAAAGTGGTTTTGATCAACCTATCCCTTCTGTGTTTCCACTCTGCTTCACTAGCTTCTCTATGTTTATATGCTACCCCCTCCCCATTTTTAATGATATTGTCTCAGTGAGTAGGAGATGATTCCTGTCACATCGTCTAAAACTTCTTTTTTATTATGTTCAATTCTAGGTGTATATTGCACTTTGGATGGCTTCTTTTGTTCCCTGTTGCTAATCCTAGTTATATGGGAATTCTTTCTGCTGTGAAGTACCCACCTTGTAATTCTCACTGTTGGAGATGGCTTGTCTTTTTCTTGAAGAATATCTATACCTATATCTCTATCTATAACTGTATTTATATCTATCTCCAAATATGAGTAAGTCCACTTTATGGGGCCCAGACTTACTTTTATGATGCACTCTCTGATTATCTTGCACTATCCCCCTATTCGGAATTCCCACACAACTGAAAACCCTTGGAAAAGGGGTAGTGCGTCTTGTAAACTTTAATCGTACTTGGCATCTTCATTGGTTGCTCTGCTGCTTGTCATCGGATCTACCAAGTCTTTTTACACAGATATCACTTCCACTTAGAAACTGGAATACAAGGCGAAGCTCGCTGGGCAGAGGGAGCTGTCATTTGAGCAGTCACTGCTTAGATTTAGGAATATAATGAAACAGTTTGCTCAGAAATAGGTTCCTCCAACTTTTATGTGTTTTTAATAGCTTTTTGAAGCAATATTTTACACCTACAAAAATTCTTTGTATTGAAGCCCTTAGATGTTAACTTTCCAGAGCTTTTTGGGTTTCCAATGACTTAATAAGTGTGTAGTTTAAGTAAAATGAGAAAACTTCCTAATAAGTGCACCAATGTGGGGCTATATGCTGCTAGGCCGGTGTCCAATTCAATTTCATTTGTAGTTACCTTTGTGATAAAGACATTAGAAATCATTAACTGCTGAGGTATCCCATCTGGAAACGACGCAGAGAATTTGTGGAATGGGATTAAATACTTCTTTTATTTGTGGTGAACAGTAGTGTTTTTCTTGAGAAGAGCAAATGTGGTTATTTTGCAACCTTTCCTGGGACCATTGCTTTGTAAAGCAGGGTAAACATTGCCATAGACAGTGACCTTTCAAATTGTGAAACTTTTTTTTCAAACAGATACTTTCTGGAAAAGGGGTATATGATATGCAGTCAGACAAGTTGATGTTGGAAACCTCTATGTTTTGGACTCAAAGGACTTTGAAATATCAGTAAAATGTGATAGCTGTTATGTTCCATGAATGACTATTATGAAGACTTACAGCTTGATGCCCTTATTCAAGTTTGAGGAAGAACTCAAATGTTTATGTTAATTACTGAAATTGTTTAGTGGCTAGGTGCATAGTTTTAATCTGATAATGTGGAAAACGAAGCTTAACGTTCCATTTGTTAACTTTTGCAAACTTTATGCAGGATTTGGAAACCACTTATTTGCGATCACCTTTAAAATGTCTACATTTACGTAAATAATGCAAACACTTCTCAATATATTAACTGAAGAACTATCTATTGATACTTTCTGAACAATATCATATCAAATTCTGTGAACTGAAAAAATAATTTTAATTATCGTTGTTTTTACTAGACCTTCTAAACCAAGCATTTTCCCAGTGGAAAAATGACATTTAGTTATCTCAGGATGGTTGCATGCAGAAGGAAAAGCACAGGCTGTCCGACAAACGCATTAACCAACCCAACCCTTGGAGAAACTGTGTCACACATGACTCCTCTTTGTCAAGTATTTCTACAATGTTTTCCTTAGAGGTTTTGAAGTTTTTCCTGCTAATACATGGTTGTCTGGGAGGAAGTATTGTTGAAAGTATTTTCAGATACTTGTATATTTTCAGAATAATGTGCTCCATATGTTGTTCTTGGATTCTAGTTAAGATATTTGGAGGCTAGTGGGGTAACTTGGTGGAAGTATGATCTAAGACTCAGCCTCACTTTCTCTTTATGAAGTATGTTTAAACAAATGAACAAACAAACTTTAGCCTAATGTAGGACATGGGAAAGGGATCAGAAAGTTCATGGAATTCAGTTGCATTCTGAATTGTTTCAGCTTCTCCGAGTGTGGAATATTGGAATGGAACTTTGCATAGCAGATGCATCTTTGAGATAATAGGCTGGTGAAATGCAGTTCATCTCAGATTATTGTATCAGACTGTTATCTTAGACCATTAGGATGCCTTAAATTAGGAGCATCCCTTTGCTTCTTTTAACTTTTCTTTTCCATGCACTATACACAAATGTTGCAGAAACACCAAGGTACTGATTGGTTCAAAGCTCAGAGGTCATTATTCATGTTTTAACATGCTACTTTTTAAGATCAGTAAAATAGATTTTAGCTAGGTTGGTAACTTTTCCTTGTATTCCCATGAAATTCTAGTTATTTTAGGTAAGGGCAATATTCTAAAAGCTTTCGGTAGATACAATCCTTTGAAATAACATCAAAGTGTTTGCTTGTTCAGAAATAGCTATTTGAAACATTTTGGGCAAGATTTGAATGTATTTATACACTTATTACGAATGCAACTGCTGAAAGCAATGATACATATTCATTTTAATTAAAGTTTACTAATGGGAAATTAATGGCAGCTTTTAAAGTCACAGGAGTTGATTCTGAGAAAGAGCCATTTGAAATAATGAAGTGAACTTTCACTACCATGTGAAAAGAGCAATTATGACTTTAAAGGAAATGTGCCTGCAAATGAATAAGTACTTTTTTTTTTCTTGTTCATTTCATATGATTCTGTAAGTTACTGAGAGGGCAGTTCAGCCTGGGGGAATCACAAATGCCCCATCAGAACAATTTTTAGTCTTCACACTGATGATCAATTATATCTAGATGCCTTCTTCCTTCAGAATTTATGACTCACTCTTAAAATTCTACCTTAACTTTTCCTGTGTATGTATGGTATGTACATATTTGGTTGTCTTCTAAATGCAAGTAGACATACTGCAAACAATAAGTCAGTGAGTCAGTGGATGGTAGAATAGAGAGTATTTTTACTGTTTTACTATTTTGGTTTTTGTTTCTGAATATCTATCATGAGAGTCCCGTGGAGAAGACCTGGTGAAAGAACATTTCTGCTTTTCTCATGCTTGATAGTCCTCAAGGTCTAACATGTGTTCCCTATTCAAATAAATTGGAAAATGGCAGGTTAAATGGAGTTAAACAACTCTCTACAGCCGGACTTCTCAGAGCCTTTAATAAACTAGTGTGCAGTTATCAATAACTTTTTAAGGGTAACTTATTCAATACTCTTGTGATGATGTGGCACCCAGGGCACTTTGAGAAACATTGTTCTAAGTCATTCTTAAACCTGGCCAAACAAGAACAATAATAATAACAATTTTATATGGCACTTAAAAAATTTATAAATGTTTTTATACTCTTTATCTCATCTAGGTTTTACAGTAACTCAAGAGAAAATCATCAGTATCTCTCTATATATGAGAAAACTGGCTCAGGGAGATTCATTAACTGGCACAAAATTCCCTGCCTATTATGTGATATAGCTAGGCGTCAAAGCCAGGCCCACCTTACCCTAAAGTTTGTGCTCTTTCTGGATCATTTAGCTTATCTCCAACTGCCAACTTGGATAATAATGACAACAATGTATGAAAATGACACTTTACCTTCACCAAGCGTGACAAAGTGGGAAAGGGAGCTGCCGTTTTGATGGGATAGGAGATCTGTCCAGTAACACACCAGTAGTCAACTGGCAGAATGAGGATTGGGCCTCAGCTTGTCTGACTCTTAAGGCCGGTGCTCCTCTTACTACACCATGTGGACATGCTGAGCTTGTTGCATTAAGTCCCAGCTGAGTAACACGGTCTTGCGGTGGCATTAATGATTAAATGGCAGAATGTATGTGAACGTGTAGAAAGTGCTTTGCAAATGATAAAGAGGTTCTAGAGATCAAGAATGGGTAGGGAAATAGCATCTAGGTTTGACTTCGACTACTGAAAAAGTACTTTATTGATTTGGAGTTAGTTCTGGATTCTGATAAAGGTCAGGAGGGATCGATGGTCACTTTCCCGTATATTTGTGTTCCCTCTACTGCATATTAATTAATTTATTCATTCAACATATAGTGAGTCTCTACTCTATGCAAGGCACTGTGTTAGTTACTAACTACCCCAAGATGGATAAAATACACATCATCTTTCAGGGATTCTACTGTCTGGTGAGGAAGAGGAAAAGTAAACAGACAATTTCAATATAAGGAAATAAGTGCTATGATAGAAATAAGAAACCCAGACCATCTTAGTGATGCAGGTGAAATCCTGGAGAAGGGGATGTTTGAGTGAAGGTTTGAATGGTGAGAAAATCTGCTGTCTGAATAAAGTGGGGCATTGGCCTCAGAGCCTTGGATATAACTTTGTATAAAGGAACAGGGGTGGGCAGGGCAAGAAGGAACAAGACTGGTTAAGTGTGTGCTTGGAATAGAGAGGGAGTGCGAGGTAATAGCTAGAAATGAGGAGGGAGAATTCGTTGGGTCTACAAAGAAAGGGATATAGATTTTATTCTGAAAGCATGGAGGAATCCTTGAAGGATTATAAGGGCCAGGGAGGGGAGAAGGGATTGTTAACAAAGTGTTGAAACATTGTTTTATCCAAAGGAATGGGACAAAGTTGAGTTTCAGAGAACATGCCATCAATTCCTCTCTGATTCAGTGATGTCTTTTCCATTTATTAAAATTCGTTGATTTTAAAGGGATTGAGTTTGGATGTAATTGGGATGTATCAATAGGCCCAAC